AGTACTCCAAAGTTTACATGAATCTCATTTAGGCATTGTTAAAACCAAAGCTTTAGCCAGATCGTTTGTTTGGTGGCCTAAACTCGATGTAGATATCGAATACTTAATTAAGTCGTGTATTCCCTGTCAAAAACTTATGGCTAGTCCAGAAAAAAGTTTTCTTATACCATGGACTCCAACAAGCTCAGCATGGCAAAGAATTCATATCGACTTCGCAGGTCCAATTAAAAATTATCATTTTCTTATTGTCGTAGACTCGTTTTCCAAATGGGTAGAAGTATTCAAAACCAAGGAAATCACTTCCAGTTTTGTAATTTCAAAACTTAGGGAAATTTTTTGTCGTTTCGGTATTCCTTACACGATTGTCAGTGACAACGGCAGACAATTTGTTTCTGAAGAATTTAAAATATTTACTTCAAACAATAAAATAAAACATATTCTAACGGCTCCTGGGCATCCAGCCACAAATGGCCAGGCTGAAAATTTTGTGAAAACTTTAAAAAAATCTATTTATGCGAACTTATCATCTGGAAGAAACGAAAACATAGACATTGTTTTAAATCGTTTTCTAATGGATTATCGTAATACTCAACATAGCTCAACTGGCGAAAGCCCAGCAAAGCTTTTCATTGGAAACTCAATTAGAACTAGATTTGATATAATTAAACCACCTCTTGTTAGAGACAAAATCATAGAACAACAAAATAAAAACATTTTAAATTATAATGGTAAGAGGATGGTTGCGTTCAAAAAAGGTCAAAATGTTTTTATACGGGATTATACAAACGCTAATTCAAAGTCTTGGGCCCCTGCTATCATAAAAGATAAGACAGGTCCACGATCATATCAATGTATTCTCTCAACAGGAAGAATTATAAAAAGACATACTGATCAGATTAGGGCAGGTGTGAATGAGAATAGAAATATTGAAACTGACGAAGAACATAAAAATGATTTATCCGATTTACCATCGTGCTCACATGGAAATTCCACCAATCAAGCTGTTGAAAAGTCACATGTTAATAACGAAGTAATTGTAGAGAAATTAATTCCTAATTCTGGATGTAATAAAAATGTAGACAATGATAAAAATACTGAAATGTCAAATTTAAATGAAAACAATGATAATGGAAACATATCTTCAAGGGTGCTAAGACCTAGAGTAAAGAAAACATATACTTAATTATACAAATTTTATATTGTAATAGAACTGAACTGTTATTGAATTAATCATTTAAATTTATAATTTTTCAAATAGTATATTATTTTCTGTATATAAATTGTTTATATCTTATACATAATTATTGAATTTATACTCTTGAACTTATACAAACATTATAAAAATTCAAATTTAAGTGGAGGCGTGTTATATATGCATCTTTATTATAGACACCTATTTATTTCTTGTACAATTAAGCTTTTGTCATAAAGCTTTTATTATGTTATGATGTTATCTTTTGATTCTTTCCTTTTTCATAAATAAAACTAAATCACTTATTGAGTAATCTCCAACCGAAGTGTTTCAATACATCACAGATATATAGTTTTGTTCGATTTTATAAAAACGGTGCCGCAATCTCCCAATGTGTATCCGATTGAGACAAAATGTTGCACATCTTACTTCATTAAGAACAGATTAAAGTATGCGAAGTTGTGTTGAAATCGGTTCAGCCATAATTAGGTTGGGGAAATAGAAATTCATTACCTTTTCGGTAGATGGCTGTACTGATAGATTTCTTCTAAAGTATCGATCAAACAATTTTAGATTTATATTCGTTGAAAGGGTGACGCTAGGCCACACACATCTACAGTGATACACCAGAAACTTCGAGAGCTTGATTGCGAATTTTTAATGCATCCGCCATGCTGTCCGGACTTAGCACCAAGCGATTATCATCTATTTCTTGAATTGCAAAATTTCTTTAATGAAAAAAATGGTATCTAGGGAGGGTTGTGAAAGTCGACTACTATAGGTTTTTGGAAATAGAGAGCAGTACTTGTGTGAGAGAGGCATTATGAAGTTACCTTACCTTGTAAAAATTGGTGCAGACTCAGACAATTTCCCGATATATATTTTCGACCGACCTTAGGTTAATTGTGCACCAAATACTCAACGGGTGTTCGAGTGAGTGTAATACTGCACAGTGTCCTGTGCTGCAGCATATCGAATAACATGTGTCACGTTTACTTTAATTCGTTTTACATGAGTTTTTCCATTGTACACAAACGACTCTGAATCAGCCGTGTTAAGCGGTTCTCATATAGATAAATATTAGATATTTAAGTTCGTCTAATTTCATGTCGATGTTCCTTCAAATGCGACGTCTGTCAGGATAAATATGTAGAATATGTCCAATGTGGTGAAAGGTATCATATAGTCGGTCCCGTCCGACTTTACTCCTTTTCTTACTGGTAGGTAGTGTGATTTGACAGGCAATGAGAATACAAAATACCAAATTGGAGCAGAAAATTTGGTTGAAACGCGTGTCTCAAATTCCCGAAATTCCCAATATTAGGGGTACTGTTATATGGGGGCTACCCTGAAATGTGGGTCATTGTAATAAATGTTTGCTACGGAGATGTGTTCTAATATGCGAATCCAAAATACAAAATTACAGACAATTCGGTTGAAATACCAAATATTGAGTTGTACCATTATATAGGGGTTTAAGCAAAACCTGGACTGATATATCCCATTTGCAACACCAATGGATCGATCACCTTATGATGGAGGGTTTAAAAATGGAACGATAGACGTGAATATTTTGCAGTCAAAGTTCGTGGTTAAGCACCTTGTCGGACTACAACTTCTAAATGTGTCAAACCAACTGTCGAAGTAATTTTTCCACTTCCATTGAAAAAAATTGAAACACGGCTTTTGAAACCTTCAGTTACCACGCATTTTTTCTTGATAATTGTGGAAAAATAAAGAACTCATTATGTAGCGAGTCTAGGCTGTATGTCGGATGACTCACCACTTCACCGCATGGCATCTTCTTTTGTCTGTTTTGTTTTTATACCCTTCACCACACTGTGGTACAGGGTATTATGTCTTTGTGCATATGTTTGTAACAGGCAAAAATAATCGAGATAGACCCATGGTTCCTTTTGAGAATATGCATAGAATCACTTTCTACGTCGATTTATGCATGTCCGTCCGTCCGTTTGTCTGTCCATGTTAAATTGTGAACAATGTACAGGTCGAATTGGAGGAAATTTGGCACAGCTCATTTGTCTGGCTCAAGGACGAACCCTATTGAAATTGGGAAAATCGGTCCAGATTCAGATATAGCTCCCATATATATCTTCGTCCGATTTAAGGTAAATGGTGCACTAAAGTCCATATATCTTTCGATATGCACGCAATTTGGCACAACGTACTTAATTAAGTCTAGAATAATATGTGCAAAGTTTCGTGAAAATCGGTTCAGATTTAGATATAGCTCCCATATATAGCTTCGACCGATTTTAGGTAAATAGTCCACTAAAGTCCCTCGAAATCTTTTGATTTGAACGAATTTTGGCATAATGTACTGAATTAAGTCTAGAATGATGTGTGAAAAGTTTTGAGAAAATCGGTTCAGATTTAGATATAGCTCCCATATATAGCTTCGCCCGATTTTAGGTGAATAGTCCACTAAAGTCATTGGAAATCTTTTGACTTGCACGAAATTTGGCACAGCGTAATGAATCAAGTCTAGAATGATGTGTGAAAAGTTTTGAGAAAATCGGTTCAGATTTAGATATAGCTCCCATATATATCTTCGCCCGATTTTAGGTAAATAGTCCACTAAAGTCCTTGGAAATCTTTTGACTTGCACGAAATTTGGCACAACGTACTTAATTAAGTCTAGAATGATATGTGCAAAGTTTCGTGAAAATCGGTTCAGATTTAGATATAGCTCCCATATATAGCTTCGCCAGATTTTAGGTAAATAGTCCACTAAAGTCCCTCGAAATCTTTTGGCTTGCACGAAATTTGGCTCAGCGTAATGAATAAGGTCTAGAATTATGTTTGCCATGTTTCGTGAAAATCGGTTCATATTTGGATATAGCTCCCATATATAGCTTCGCCCGATTTTAGGTAAATAGTCCACTAAAGTCCTTGGAAATCTTTCGACTTGCACGAAATTTGGCACAGCGTAATGAATAAGGCCTAGAATGATGTTGCCAAGTTTCGTGAAAATCGGTTCAGATTTAGATATAGCTCCCATATATATCTTTGTCCGATTTAAGGTTAATTATGTACCAAAGTCCCTATATATCTTTCGATTTGCACGAAATTTGGCATAGCGAAATGGATTAGGTCTAGAATGTTGTGTGTTAAGAGAGCTTCTATATACATTTTCTCCCGAGTTTTGGTAATTTTGTCCCATTGTAAGAAGCAACCCTATATCTGAACAAATGAAAATTTTAGTATAGGTTGCAGAATTCGACGTCTGTTAGCATTCATATGTTGAATATACCCAAAGTGGTGAGGGTATCATATAGTCGGCCCCGCCCGTCGGAAAGCGATACGACCCATTTGGCTGTTATATTTTTCATATTCTAAACCGCATTTGATGGCCATCTCAAGCAAGCCTCTACTTTTGCTGGTAATATTTGAACATTGATTGTAATAATATGTGTTAGCACACAAAAATGCTATAAAAACTTTTATCTCAAAAATTGTGTAAATTTAGTGCCAACAAAATAATAAATGTTTAAAACAAAGTAATAACTTTTAAATCTACCACCAATATACTCGCATAATCCCCTATAGAATATCCACAATTTAACTTTATATACCTTTTAACACTTCCATATAATACTCCAATGGTTTTTTGTTGTCGTAAAAACACAGTATCAATTTGTAACTATCTGTAGCTGGCGATGTAAGTATGTGTGTGTGTGTCCACATATTTATATTTACATTGTAAGTAAGCAAAAGCCTGTTGCTTTCGCTCAACCCAAAACAACAACAACAAAAAGTAAAAGTAAATTAAACAACAACAACTCACCTGTCCACCGAGATGCAACACAAATGCAAAATACTGGCTGTCGAAAAGTAAACATCCAGACTGTTGTAAACATTACACATGAACGGTCCGAACATCCATTTGCCACCGGACAGCTCCACAGACGCATTAAATGTCATTGCACAGAGGGCAACCAGCATATCCGCCATGGCCAGTGACACGACAAAGTAATTTGTTATGACCCTGCAGAAGTGAGGAGAAAAAGAAGAAGGGGAAGAAGATGAAAAGGATGTAATGAAAAAATAAACAGGATTGATAACTTTTGATATGCAGATGATGATGATGATGATGACGATGTTGATGCTGCTGACGAAGAATCTGGACAATGTAAAGAACAAAATATATTACAAATTCTTTTTGTTGTGACAATGGCACAAAATAAATTGAAGTGAAAGGTGGCGAGAAATGCAAAAGAAATTGTTGAGCAAAGGTATGCGAAATGTCATTCTTGTGGACATGATTATTCATATTTTTAAAACCAAATATTGGATGGACAACATTGATACATAAATAATTCATTTCAGAATATTTTCTGAAAAAAACTAAATTTTTAACAAAACATTGACATCGTTTAGAAAGATCTTAGAAGATCCAAAGGGCTATAACATGGTTTTACGGTTACGAAGGGGAACAAAATCTCAATCGTCAGACTAACTTCCCTTTTTTCTTACTCTCTAAGATCATTTACACATAAGAAGGATTCTCACCATGACGTACCACCATGTGTTATGTTGTTCAAAGTTACATGAAAAATCGATTTGCAAAAGGCTGGAGATTTATACTCCTTTTAGCTCGTCTATATAGACTCTCTTCAAATCGATAACACTCATGATCTTCGGATCTTATATAGTCTTTTATAGCAGTCTCCCTTCATCTCATCCATAAAATACTCTTTGGCCTCCAAAACGTCTATAAAGAGTCTCCTAGATCTTCATTTCGACTCTAAGATACTCACTGTCTGTAGACGACTCTTAGTCTTTCAGATCGCCTACCAGACACTTTGATCGATTAAAGAAAACTCTATACCGATAATGAACGTCTATAGAATACTACCTACTCTATATAGACTCCCTTCAGAACGTACATCAGCTCGTCTATAGGATACTCTCTTCAGCTCGTCTATAGATGACTCACATCAGCTCGTTTATAGAAGACTCCCATCAACTCGTCTATAGAAGACGCCCTTCTACTCGTCTATAGAAGACTCCCATCACATCGTCTATTGAGTCTGTAGAAGACTACTTTAAGTTCGCCTATAGAAAACCACCTTAAGTACCTTGTGCTTGCCTATAGAAGACGTCCTTGTGCTTGTCTAGAAGACTACTTTAAGCTCGTCTATAGAAAACCACCTTAAGTACCTTGTGCTTGTCTATAGAAGACGTCCTTGTGCTTGTCTATAGAAGACGCCCTTCAGCTCGTCTATAGAGACCCCCATCAGTTCTTATTTGGAGACTCCCTTCAGCTCGTCTATAGAAGAATCCCTTCATCACGGAATACTCGGAATACTCTTTTCATGTTGTCTATAGAATACTTCCTTCAGCTTGTCTATAGAAGGCTCTCTTCACCTCGATTATAGAAGACGTCCTGCTGCTCATCTATAGAAAATTTTCTTCAGCTGGATTATGGAAGACTCCTTTCAGGACGTCTATAGAAGACTCCCTTCATCTCGCCTATAGAAGGCTCCCACCACCTCGCCTATCCAGCACGTCTATAGAAGACAACTTTCAGAAGACTCCCTTCAGCCCCTTTATAAAGGAATCCCATCAGTGTCTTTAAAAGACACCCTTCAGCTCGTATATGGAAGACGCCCTTCGGCTCGTCTATGGAAGACGCCCTTCGGCTCGTCTATGGAAGAATCCCTTCATCTCGGAATACTCCTTTCATCTCGTCCATAGAAGACTTCCTTCAGCTCGTTTATAGAAGACTCCCTTCAGTTCGTTTATAGAAGACTCCCTTCAGCTCGTTTATAAAGACAACCTTCAGCTCGTCGATAAAGCCTCCCATCAGTTCATCTGAAGACTCCTTGCTATAGAAGACTCCCATCAGCTCTTCTATAATAAAATTCCTTCAGCTCTTCTATAAAAAATTCCTTCAGCACTTCTATAGAAAACTTCCTTCAGCTCTTCTATTGAAAACTTCCATCAGCTCGTCTATAGAAGACAGATCGTCTACAGAAGACACCCTTCAAGGGCTTTCACAGGTTGTCTACTTCAGCTCGTCTTTAGAAGACGCCTTCACCTCGTCTATATAGAATCCCATCAGTCTATAGAGGATTTCCTTCCATAGAGGGTCTCTTCAGTTCGTCTTTAGAAGAATCCTTTCTGCTCGTCAATAAAAACTCCCTTCAGTTCGTCTAAAATTTTATAGAAGGTCCCCTGTTCCTCATCTCGTCTATTCAATACTTCCAACCCTTCAGTTCAGATATAGCACCCTCATTGCCTTGTTTTTTTTTTCTTTATAGACAATTTTTTGCTCTTCAGCTAATATATGGAAGACTCGCTGCCCTTCAGAATTTATATAGAAGATTCTACGACAGTTTACTCGTCTCTAGAAGAATCTATGTCATTCGTATCGACTGTAAAATAATTCTTCCCCTCAGATCATTTGTAGAAGATCCCCTGCCCTTCTACTCATCAGTTCGTCGATACATTGTCCTACAGGTTCTTTTCATAAGATTCTGTAGAAAAATGGGAACAAAATTAAGTCGACTTTAAATCTTTCTCACAAAAATGTCCTCTTAACAGTTTGGTGCTAATGCAGTATTTGGGAATAGTAAAAATAGATATCATTTCAATGACTCTTAGTACGCATAATGACAAAATCTTATCATAGTATTCTCTTCATCATTTAACTAATCCCAGAAAATTGCCAACCTCTTCAACTAGATTTCATCCAGATGGTGGTATTGACACCAACACCGAATAAATCCACTATTCCCAGTTGACGATGGCCATGATTGTCGTCGTAAAGTAGAATTTGAGTAGTT